AACAAAAGATGTACATACTATTCTTATGTATACTGTTGACTATATTAATATCTGTGACATTTCAAATACTGTTTTGGACAATCCATATATATTTATCATTGCCCACCTTTATATTGTGGGAGAAATACGAACTTTTTTGTTCTCTTGAAGTTGTAAAGCCCCTTAAACCATGTATAAGCCAGAACCTAGTCAATGGCAGTGAACAACATAGCCATTTGATCCTTCTTGCTTGCATGTTAGAATTGCCTCAGATAAAAATTTTTTTCTGTCTTGTATTTCCTTTGTTATGGGTTTTCTATTGTTTTTAATCTGTTTGAACTTACCTACAAAAGTCCTTATTTTAACTTTTTACTGTTTGATTCTAAGCTCTGGTAGTATAGTGGTTACGAGTCGGGCTGCTAACCTCAGGGTCAGCAGTCGAAACTACCAGCCGTTCCGTGGGAGAAAGCTGAGGCTTTCTGCGCCCTTAGAGATTCACAACCTTGGAAACCCTGTGCAGAGTTGCTCTGAATCGGAATCGACTCCATGGCACACTGCCACCACCTCTACCAAAGTAACCGTATCTGAAGCCAAGATGCCTTGATGTCACTGATGTTTTGGCTGAGTACATCTTGTTTCTTCAAGAAGGGATCATCCTAATGAGTTGTTATGAGTTCTTGCATGTTGTCTTTATACTTACATAATGGAGGTGAGGATCGTGAGACTTTGTGTCTTGGATGTGTTGTCAGGAGGGTTGGCAAAAAAGAGGACTACCAGCAACTAGTTAAATTGACACAGTGCCACCATCCATGCCCTCCACCATAACAGCGATTGGGAGGATGGGGCATGACCTAGCAGTGTTTCATTCTGTTGTTTGCTGTATGTTGGAACTGACTTGTTGTTAAGTGCTGTCAGGTCAGTTCCAGTGTCATTTCCTTGTGGTACATAGTACAACTGCTCTGTAGAGTTTTCATGGCTGGAGTCCTGCTGGGGCACTGTAGGATAAGCACTGAACTGCTAACCATAAGGTTGTCAGTTCAAACTCACCAGAAGTTCCTTGGAAACGTTACACATCAGAACTGACTCCACGGCACTTAACAACAGCAGTGTATAGAGGCGGACTGCCAGACCCTTTTTTTTTCACTGTGTTACAAACCATTTGGCCACCCCAGGACTTGTCAGTGCCTGACAAGGAGGTGTCATGTAAAGTCTTTGTCTGTGATGATGAAGTCCAAGCCACAGGACATCTCTGTTACTTTATCTTTTAAAACGTAATGCATTGTTGATCATACTAAGTATGTACTTTATGTAATCTTTGAATTTAGAAGTAGTGCCTGTGTTTTGTTTGGAGTGTTTGGAACCCATTTTCAGGACTTGACGGCACTTGACAACAACAACAAACTATAATAAAAGATATTCTTTAAATTAAAACATTTTAATTCATTAAAAACATATTGCCATTTTATGATATTGTTTAAAAATAGTCAATCTTGTTGGAAAATAAAGCATTGTTCATATTTAATTTTTGGTAACATTTATTTTGTATCATTTAGTAGAAGATATAAACACAAAGTTATCCTAGGCAATTTAAGTACTTGTTCCCTGATTACATATGTTGTTTTTGTTAAATGCCATTGAGTCAATTCTGACTCATAGCAACAGGTATAGGGTTTCCAAGGAGCAGCTGGAGGGTTTGAACCACCAACCTGGTGGTTTGCAGTCCATTGCTTATCCTACAACTCCATACCAGGAGTCCAGATACAGTTCTCTAAATGTGTCTGATACCACAGAAACGATGCGTATGTACACACCGAAACATCATGGTATATTTCTAATATCCTATAACTTTCAATGCATTTAGATATTTGCTATGTTTTCATTTCAGGCCTAAACCGTACCTGTTTCAAAGTGATCATAAATTCCCTACAAAAAAAGAGAAGTTACCAGTGGTTATTCTTTATGCAGAAATAGGTACCAGTGCCTTTGTTAAATTTCACAAACTACTGTCTGGAAAAGCTCACACTGGGGAAATCCTTTATGTCCTTCGCCATTATATTCAGGTAACTGCTGATTTTTTTCAAGTCTATTCTGAATATCGAAAAATATTTTTTATGGTAATTTCTTACTAGATTTGAATACTTTTCACAGAAGAGTTATTTAAGTTTTGTTCCTTTGTTACTTAGCATAACTATTAAGCATGTGAATTTTACAACAGAAAACATACCAGGATTCTGTTTCTGTTCTGAGGTGTATCGTTGTTGTTGTTGTTATGTGCCGTGGAGTCGGTTCCGACTCATAGCGACCCTGCACAGGGTTTCCGAGGCTGTTAATCTTTACGGGAGCAGATGCCTCATCTTTCTCCCGCGGAGCAGCTGGTAGTTTTGAACTGCTGACCTTACGGTTCGCAGCCCGATCCGTAACCACTACGCGAGGTGTATCATAGTTACAGTAATTTCCTCTATAGTGTATGTGACACACATTTAAAACTTGGATGACACAAAAAACATATTGCAATAACATAGTATTAGCTAGGATTGATACTATTTTTAAAGAAAAGGTATCAGGATGGTGAAATCTGATTTGCCGTATATACTGATGGGTTAGGTTCACCTTAGTCCTCAAACCAACATCTTTGCTCTTCAACACATTGAAGAGATCTTGTACAGCAGATTTGCCTAATGCAATACGTCGTTTGATTTCTTGACTGCTGCTTCCATGAGTGTTGATAGTTAATCCAAGAAGAATGAAGTCCTTGACAACTTCAATCTTTTCTCCATTGATAAGAATGTTGTTTAGTGGTCCAGTGGTGAGAATTTTTGTTTTCTTTACATTGAGATGTAATCCATACTGAAGGCTGTGGTCTTTGAACTTCGTCAGTAAATGTTTTAAGTCTTCCTCACTTTCAGCAAGCAAGGTTGTATCATCTGCATATCGCAAGTTGTTAATGAATCTTCTTCCAATCCTGAGGCCATGTTTTTCTTCATATAACCCAGATTCTTTGATTATTGGCTCAGCATACAGGTTGAATAAGTATGGTGAAAGAATACAACCCTGTCACACACCTTTCTTCATTTTAAATCATTCAATGTTCCCATGTTCTGTTCGAACAACTGCCTCTTGGTCCAAGTACAGATTCCTCATGAGCCCAATTAAGTGTTCAGGAATACTCATACTTCGCAATGTTGTCCATAGCTTGTCATTATTCACACAATCGAAAGTCTTTGCATAGTCAATAAAGCAGAGATAACATCTTTCTGGTATTCTCTGCTTTCAGCCAAGATCCATCTGATATCAGCAATAGTATCCCTCATTTCATGTCCTCTTCTGAATCTGGCTTGAACCTCTGGAAGTTTCCTGTCAATGTATGCTTGCAACTGTTTTCTGTATTACCTTTAGTAAAACTTTACTTGCATGGGATATCAAAGAGATTGTCTGATGATTTCCGCATTCCATTGGGTAACCTGTCTTTGGAATGGGCCAGTCAGTTGGCCATATAGTTGTCTTCCAAATTTCTTGGCATAGATGAGTGAGTGCGTCCAGTGCCATCTCACTTTGTTGAAAGATTTCAATTTGTATTCCATCAATTCCTGGTGCCTTGTTCTTTGCCAATTCTTCAATGCTCCTTGGACTTCCTCCTTCAGTATCATTGGCTTTTGATCATATGTTACCTCTTGAAACAGTTGAACATCAACCATTTCATTTTGGTATAGTGACTCTGTGTATTCCTTCCATCTTCTTTTGATGCTTTGTGCATCATTCTTTACTGTATATGCATAGAAATAGAACTATTAGATTATAGGCTATACATATTTTATGTGGTACTCTTATTGATAATTTCTCTGAGTGGTTGGTGTAATTTATATTATTACCAGCAGTTCATATTATTCTTTTAAATTGTTATCAATCGAATGGGTGCAAGTTTTATGTTGTTGTTTTAGTTTTCATTTTCCAAATAATTATTTATATGTTAGACTTTAAGGAGCTCTGGTAGCGTAGTGGTTACAAATTGGGCTGTGAACCTCAAGATCAGCAGTTCAAAACTACCAGCTGTTCCGTGGGAGAAAGATGAGGCTCTCTGCTCCCGTAAAGATTTACAGCCTCGGAATGTCTGTCCAGGGTCGCTGTGAGTCAGAATCGACTCGACAGCACTTCACAACAACAACAACATGTTAGAATTTAATGTAATACAATTATTAAAATATGTTTGTAAATTGGTTATTTTCCTTACCTGTTTTTTTTTTTTTTTAATGTTGCATTCTTTAACTGTTTTGTTTTTTTTGTCCCCTTGTTAATGTTTTGTGTATATTCTGAATTCTAATGCTTTATCTGTTCCATAGTTTGTAAACATATGGTATTTCTGGTGTTGTAGTGTGCTTTTTTTTTTTTTTATTGTTGGTGTTAGTGACATCATTTACTGAACACAACTGTTAATTGTGACATAGTCAGATGTATCCAGCTTTTGCTTACTGGTTTTCTGCGTGTTGTCGTAAAGACATTCTCTTGTATTTTTGTCAAGATTCGTTATGTGTTAGTTTTAAGCCATCTGGATTTTATTTGAATATACTGTAAGGTGGGAACATAACTTCACTTTTTCCATATGGGAAATCATTGGCACCATTCATTATGAAATCAGTATTTTGAAAGTATGATTTATTTATGTAAAAAATATGACACTGCCCATCTTTGCACAGCACTGTACTGAGTTTGATAATTCACTGCAATGAATGCATCATTCATACTCAGATATCATACTCACAGTTAGGGGGTTTCTTAGAGAAGTGAACAGGTTACAATTCAGAGTAAATGAAAGGTCAGGGTACATTTCTTCCAGTCAGACTGCTTCTACTCAAGTGTACCTGCAGGTCGGCCAATGTGTACAGCAAACCGAGCTCTTCCAGTTAAGTGTCTGGAGGCGCCCCCCTCTGCAAGCCTGTCTCCAGCCCACAGTCACTGACCTTCACTTGCTCCGTGGGCCAGGAAGCCCCCCACTGGGTATTGTGCTTTGGCTCCTGGTTCTGCTGCTATTGCTCTTCTCATGACACAGCTCTCTCTCCTGGGTTGAGGAGGTTAAATTGTGCAGGGATCTCAGAGGCCAAAGGACTCGTTCCAATCTTGTTCTCTTTATTAATGACACTGAGACCCCCATCTTGCTTCTGAGATGGCTTATTTTAAACCCACGTGAGAATTTCAAATTTTTGTCATCACAGTTAGCCCTGCTAATAATCATTAACACCTGATTCATGTCATCCTATCAGCATCGTCTCCCAACTCTCTCTTACCAGATCTATTAGCAATAAAGTTACAGAGACTGTGGACTGCAAAGATTTACAGCCTTGGAAAACCCTACTCAGGGTTACCATGAGTCGGAACTGACTTGATGAAACTTATCAACAACTAATGAGACGGTCGTGTGTTTATTTGGTATCTGTACATTTTTGGTGAGGTGTCTGATCATATCTTATGTCCATTTTCTATTAGTTTGTTTGGGTTCTTTATTGTTCTTCATGCATGTCATTTACTAGAGCTTTATTTTGACTATGTATGCTCCTGGTCTATTGCTAGTCTTGTCCGACTTTCAACAGTGTCTAGCAGAGCAAAAAATTTTAATTTTGGTGAAATCCAGTTCATCAGTTTTTTGTTTTTTCCTTTTGGGAATTGTGTTTCCGTTGTTCAGTGTAAAAACTCATCATTAAGCTCAAAGTCATGCAGATTTTCTACTGCATTTTTTTCTAGAAACTTGTTAGTTTTACATTCTATATTTAGGTCTTTGACCCACTTTGAGTCCTTGTTTGTGTACATTGTGAGGTATGTGTGATAAGGATCTTCTTTTAACATAGGAATGCCTACTTGTGCCAGCATCATTGCTGACAGGACCATCCTTTCTCCACTGAGTTTCCTTTACACTTTGTAATAGAATTTACTTTAGCTCTGTGTCTGTTTCTAGCCTCTCTGGTCTGCCAGGATCTATATGTCCATCCTCATATCTGGAGTCCTGGTGTGGTGCTGTGGGCTAATGTGCTGGACTACAAAGTTGGTTTGAACCTCAAGGTTGGCAGTTCAAGATCACCGGCTGCTCCTTGGAACCCTATGCAGGGTTGCTATGGGTCAGAACTGACTCGACAGCACTTAACAACAACAACAATATAGTAAGCCTGGCAATTGTACTATGCATTCTCTAACTTGATTCTTCTTTACAGAATTGTTCTGGTTCATTTACCTTTTCATGTGAACTTTAGTATGCTGTTAAACGTAGGGAATTGTTTTTGTTGTTACATGTCTTTTATTGACTTAAAGGAATTTCCTTCTTTTACTTATTTGCTGAGAATTTTTATTTGGAATGGATGCTAAATATTTTCAGATACTCCATTAACACCTATTGAGGCAATTATAGTGTTTCTTGTTCACTCTTTTAATGTAATGTTAATATAATAAATTAGATTTAATGGTATCTGGATACTGAAACAGTCTTTCATTCCTTTGATGAGTCTCATTTGGTTGTGATTTTTATATATTGTGGATTGATTTGCTAGTATTTTGTCCAGTGTTGCTATGCTTTCCTGAGGGATATTGATCTTTACTTTTATTTTCTTGTAATTATTTTTTGGGTCTGGTTTTGGTATTAGCTTATTGAAGCCCTCATAGAATAAGTGGGGTAGTGTTTCCTCTTTATTTTGGTGAAATGTTTTCTAAGTGTTTGTTAGAATTCACAACTTTGCTACTTAAGTGAGGAGTCCAAATTTTAGGTTTCTTAGTGCTGACTGACCAGCACTTGTCTCTTATGTTGCCATACTTAGTAGCTTGTGTGTTCCTGTGTTGCTGGATTATGCCCCCAGTATTTTAAATTCCAGGTGGCCAGGTTTTAGCAGAGCTTCCAGACTAAGATAGGCTGGGAAGAAGAAGCTGACCACTTCTGAATGTTTAGCCACTGACAAGCCTTATAAATAGCAGTGAAGCATACCTAATATAGTGCCGGAAGATGAGACCCTCTCATTGGAAGTCGTTCAAAATGTGACTGGGGAAGAGCTGCTTCCTCAAAGTAGAATTGACCTAAATGGAACAC